ATTCCTGCAGAACAACACGCAAGGTGAATAGGGCAGAAGTTGGAGGTGTTGAGATCACATTCCTCCCTTCACCCCCTTCATAACAGTCTAACAATATCCAGCTGGCAGCCGCTGATAGAGCTGGAGCATGGGTATGTGTGTGTTTGGACACTTTTCACTGTCTTACCTGTATTAGCCAAGGCTATATTCAATGTACAGAGAAGAATGTGTCTCGTTTAGATGAGGATAGCATAGTATAAGAATGTAAATGTGTATATGGGAGTGGTTTAGAGAGATGCAAACCTCGCTAGTCTCATGCAAGATGAGACATCAGTGTCATGTTTATCCTACCCATAATGAATATGCTCTCTCGGTTGTACAGTAAGCGGCGGTGTGTGTCTATATGTGAGAGCTAAATACACGTGTGTTTGAATGATTGAGAGCATGCACAGTATGTCAGAGGGCATGATTAACACACTCATTCTTGCCTTGTGTATACAAAGCAGACCAGGTTTAGGTCTTGTAATGTGAACTATATCAAGGGACTGGTAGTCTGAGCTGAGGGCTTTTCCTGGCCCTACTCAATTTTTTATGGTTGTGTGGGCAATCCAACTTACTCTATTATTAGGTTTTGCTTTGTGTGTGTGTGTGTGTGTGTGTGTGTACTTCTATAGGCGAGTCACTACATACACTAAGACTGTGGTAACTTTAAAGGGGTCTAAAGAAGCATACTGGTGGTTTTGAAAGTTCTAGCCCATTAACTATAAACTGCAGCTAATTTATGACTAATTTCCCACAGCATGCCATAAGTTTTACATTTAATTCCCACCTCCAAGACAGCCACCGTTTTACATTCATGTCACTAAATGATGCACAAAACTAAAACTTTTTTCAACTTACAGCCATAAAACACGGCATTGTGGGTCTGCACATTAAGTCAGCACAAACGTCTTTGACTGTTTGAACAGGCAGATACAGAACATATTGGTGATATTGTCAGAAAGAAAGAGGAAATTTAAGGGAAATTGAAGCCATCAAATAGTTGATGATGGGCTTTACTCCAACTGCCATCAACATGTCGTTCAGTAAAGGGTTTTAATCAATCCCAGAGGTTCTTCTGGAACTAATCTAAGGCCACTGGTGAAAAACTAGCTATGTTAGGAAGTTCACTGCAGTGACTGCTTGTCACTATGTGAATAAGAAGC